GTACCTCATCGCCTTTCTGTAAACCTGATAACAATTCTCCAATGAATCATATAGGTTTGTATCAGGATTGCAGAAATGACTAGGAGTACCTACGCCAAAGATCAAAGTTTTGCGCCAACATTATAGCATGGTAGATTACCATCCTCATACCTCCTCGCGTTTCTGTGATCCTGATAACAACTCCTCGTCCACCAACTCCACGACAAAAGTCTGGTAGACAGTGCGATTTTCGAAAGCCTGTAGATCTGTATAAGGATCGCATAAACGGCAAGAGGTATCAATGCCATGGATTTGATGTTCGTGCTTATCTCGTACAAAGAGCAGAATGGCGTTTGCATACCTCCTCGCCTTTCTGTAAACCTGATAACAATTCTCCAATGAATCATATAGATTTTGTATTAGGATTGCAGAAATGACTAGGAGTATAGATGCCGAAGATCAAAATTTCGCGCCAACGTCACAGCATTGGTAGAGGACCATTCTCATACCTCCTCGCGTTTCTGTGATCCTGATAACAACTCCTCGTCCACCAACTTTACGAGAAAAGTCTGCTCGACAGATCTGCATCAGGATCGCAGAAACGGCAAGAAGTATCGATGCCATGGATTTGAATTTCATGCTTATCTAATAGCAAGAGCAGAGTGGTATTGGCAAACCTCCTCGCATTTCTGTGATCCTGATAGCAGCTCATCGACCACCAATTTCACGAGAAAAGTCTGTTAGACAGTGCGATTTTCGGAAGTCTAACTTTATATCGTGCTGGTTTTTGGCATTGCGAACCGCTTCGTTATATTTGTTTTTGGACTCATCGTCGGCTTGTCTGCTCTCTACAGTGGGGTTTTGTAAGAAGGTTCTGTGACCCTTGATCTTCTGCTGGCGAGCAGTGTCACATGATTTGTTAAACCAGCCCTTGGTCCCTGGTTTTGGCACTTTCTCTGTGTGAGGGATGTATTCCTCCATTCCGACGTGGATAATTTTTGTTATCGAAGAACAGACAGCCGACGCATCCGCGACAGTGAAACAGACATCTCTCCAAGGAAAGCTAGAGAAGAAGTCTCTGAGCCCCTCCCAGTCGGCATGTCCGTAATGCCAAGTTTTGCGGCCTGTACGAGTTTCTGCTGGCACAGCGGGTTCTGACCGAAACCTAACCTCCACCACACCGTGCTCTGAGTTACCCATGGGGGACAGGACAGCAGTGCTATTGGCGTGTGACGAGACGCGGGGAAAAAAGTAGGGCTCATCACCAGCTGTCTTGTTTGAGCCCAACCAAAGCTCATTATGGGCAATGAAATCACCGAGAACTACCTCTGAAGCGGGGTGATTGATGTTCAGGAAGTCGATCTTGACGGCGAGGTATTCCATTAGGTCATCGCAGTTATGGTCCGAGGGAGAGCGATAAAGGCAGCAAATAAATTTGGGTGATGTTTTGGAGTTGAGGCGAAGCCACAGAATGTCCTTCCGGTTTGTTTCCAAAGAAACATCTCTGGAGCAGGAAAGAGTGCTGCGGACAAAAGGCACAACTCTCCCGTTCTTTCTCAGATTGGAGTGCACCTCGTAGTTTGGGAAGTTAAGATGGTTAATCGGTGCGGACTCTGAGATTTTTGTGTCCGCCAAGAAAAGCATGGCTCGACGATTGGATTGCAGGTAGTCATGTTGCCGTTAATCTCGCAGATGTTTGTAAAACAAATTTTATCTTCGATGTTGTTACCAGGAGCCCACCCTCCACCCGGACATTCCGAGAGTGGAGTTTACGTCCGGAATTCTTAGTGCTCGAGGGATCCATCATCATTAATTTCTTTGTTTGCCTAGCTTAGGTATGGAAACATGCAGACATTTATAAGACACCCTGGGAAAAGCTAGCGGGTGGTACCGCCTCGGTCAACTGGTCCTTGTCTACCACCTTCTTTTTGCGTGTTAATGATATTAAATTGACCTAAAGTGGCCCATTGGCGGACTTGTACCGCCACCCGGCAATCGGTACTGAGGTATTCCTTAACGCGTGTACAATCACTTGAACGGGAAGAAGGTGTATACTGGATACAACAACTTCCGGAACAAGCATTTGCCACGGCCCCGCTCAGTAGAGCAGGATGGAGTATGTATCTCACAAAATCAAACTTTGGACGCACCAGATCTGTGAAAGATCAACGACATGTACATCTCATCGCTGGGGCTGGTTTCTTCAATCAGTTACCAGTAGATGGCTTGTGGAGGGAAAAAGGTTGCCTAGTTTCAGGGCTTCGCACCCCCCACTACTACTACTACTACTATTCAATGTAAAACGACAAACGAGCATTTTATCAAATTATTTATTATATTATATACCAATACTTTTGGATAAATAAGGCACAATTATACTTAAAGGTGACCTCATACTTCTGGAATACAAAACTTCGGTCCAAATCGAATTCTTGAGAAATTGTATCAAAAAATATTAATTTAAGCTCATTCCAGAAATTTGCTGCACCCTGATATAAGTAAATACGAGGGTTGTTTCAAAAATAAGGTATTTTAACCATCAACGCCCCATATTCTCCTGATATGGCACCGTGTGACTATTTTCTGTTCGGTAAACTTCATTTGTCCATGAAGGGACATCCAAAAGGCGTCGACGACCACTTCAAAGGTCTAAATCTAAATCTAAAATCATCATTCGAAAATCTTTTCGCTCTATCAACTCTGACGGATTCTATTTGGACTGAAATAAATTCGGTTTTCCGAAACAAAAAATGTTTGTTCATTTTTTTCTTTGTCCTGTTTGCGACAGACTTTGCATATGGGGAAACCTGTATAATCATTCAACATGTCCTCAAATGGCGAAGAGTGTTCTTTGACGGTCGCATGGACATTCACGATGAAGCGGGAGACCGTCGATCTCCGAGGCGAAGAAAGATTGAGCAAATCTTCAGCGAATCACGATCCGGGATTGAAATTCCTGAGGCTTCTGAAAAAGCAGATACGGGCAATCCAAATCCTTTAAGCGGGAGAAAGTGAATTACACGTCCAAAAAAATACGTAGCAAAAATGGCGATTATGTAGAAAAATAGCTTAAAATTCAATGTTTCTAATGATGAATGAAAAATTCCTTGTGCCTGAAAAAAATATAGGATCCCTATTTTTGAAACAACCCTCGTATTTTCACAATCACATGACCTGTTTTGCACTTGCCCTAAATTTGATTACAAGTTCACCAATACGTTGCGTCTAAAATTATAGTCTGCACTCTGCACCCTTATTACGTCATTATAAAATGGCAGCGATAGCTATCAGATCGCCATAATTGTCACTTTGCTATTATTATTCACTTCATTTTATCTTTAGTAGCTGTGTATGCTGCCTAAACGTCAACATACTTTTGATTGTTTGATTAAGATTTATTTAGCATGATTGCTACAATTACATTCTGTCAAAAAACACTACAATTACATAACATACAGATATTTAGACAAAACAAAATTTGCATCTCTAAGAATTTTCACTGTCCACGAAATATTCCTTTAATTTTCTTTTAAACATCCTTAAATTACAAGTAGACTTTATATCATTATTTAGTTTATTAAATTCAAGTAATCCTTTCCGAAATATTGAATTGCTAGTTATATTACTATTGCAATTTTGTAAATGAAAATCTATATTTCTGCTATAAAAATTGTGGTAATGATTATTCAATTCTATGTAGCGTTCTAAATGTTGTGGCAAAAGATGATTTTCTATTTTATTCAACCACTGCAGTTCTTGAACGATATAGCAGCTTGTTTGACAATTAATATTTGATAGTGTTTTCATTTAAGCATTTTCCTATTAGCATACGTTTTGTTTACATTTAACCAATTCATGATTTTTGTCAGAATTTAACATTTCTAAAGCGGTGTCTATATTTTCATCTGCTATGCATATTAATGTGTCTTCTGCAAATATCTGAATTTTACAATAATTTAAAATATTACAAATGTCATTAATGTATACAATAAACAGTAGCGGAAATAGTTTACTACCTTTTGGTACACCAATAGAAATATTTTTTGAGCTTGATAATGTAGATCCAATTTTGGTTTTTTGACTTCTGTCAATTAAGTAGTTTTGTAGAATTTTGAATACAGATCCTATAAATCCATAGGTATGCAATTTTGTGAGTAATTTATCCGTCAATAGCTTCAAACGCCCTTGTGAAGTCCAAAAACACTGTCACTATATGTCGTTAAAAAATATCATTTTATAAAAAAATATCCAAGTGTAATAATGGAGGTACATTTTTAAAGTTAAGGAATATTCATAACTAATAAGTGCATAGTCTGTTTTTTATTTATAACCAAAAAACGTATGAAAACCTCACCTCCGTGACTGTTCTCTTTTACCATTGCCGTCACAAGGCTACATAAAAACTATTACAAAGGAAGAAATCTACAGAAGTTTTATCTTGAATCTCCAGAATTTGTTTTTGTAGAAGAGATATGAACAAAACTTTTCTTTTGGAATCATCATCATGTAATTTACTGTTTGCGCCTCAACCCCTGTTCGGGAAAGTAGGTATCACCTCCGTGACGTACTTTTTGATGCAGATTTCGGCTCACAGATGGCGAACTATTCAATTTCTGGCATTGTATCGCGTTACAACAAACCACGACCTATTTCGTTCAGTCGATATTAGGGATTGAAAGTGATCAGACGGATTCTCTCTTTAGTTTAAGACTTGTTAACCACGTGGAACCTTTGTTGTTCTCACATCCGTGAATTTGTTTTTTTGGTAAGTAAATAAGAAAAATGCGTAGTTTTAATATTGATAGGTGACATAATATTCCCACTAGAGCTGGTTTGAAATTTACTTGTGCAAGACATTTTCACAACAAGTTAGTGAAGAAAAATATGGTAATTCCTCACTTCCGTGAGCCTCACGTCCGTGAAGTTACCAGTTCACGGAGGTGAACCAAGTTTCACGGAGGTGAGACATTGTAATGGTTTAGTGAAATGAAGTATAATATATGCACCGACATTTTCAGAACATGGCTCGTTTAAAAGTACAGAACAAAAATACAAAAGCTCATCACGAGGAAAAGAAAAGAAGGCAGCGCGAAGCTATGAGAAGGCTACGTGAATCAAGGCGACAGGATCCAGAGAAGTATGAAGAAGACAAGCGAAAAGAACGGGAACGGTATTACCGGAGAAAAGAAGCAGGCCAAATTAAAACCATTGACCAAATGTCAGAAAGAGAAAAACGGAATCAAAGGAAAGAGTGGCGGAATAGAAGTAAAAAACACTATCTTGGAAAGAAAAATGCAAAGGAGCTCGAGCTTAAATTACAAGAAAACTCACCACCCGCCACTCCAATCCCGGAAGAACTAATGGCTGAAGCACCATATGATGAAATACTTCAAGAAAGAGATGATGGAAGAAAGAGGCAAGGCAGGTCACGAAGAAGAAAACACGTAAAGGCTCTAAGAAAAGAAATAGATTTGTTAAAAGTTAAACTGGAAAAAGAGAAAAGAAAGAAGGAAAAATATAGAATGAGACTAAAAAGAGTAAAAAAGCGACTGCACAAAAACATAGATTCGCCTGAAAAAAAAGTGGATGCACTAATCAAGGGACAAACCGATTCTCCTGCTGTTAAGAAAAAACTGTTATTTTCAGAAGTTATAGCGAAACAGTTAACAGAAAATTATCGGGTTCTTACAAATCCTGCACATAAAAGAACATTTTGGAAAAATATTTCTGGAAATGTTGTAAAAAAGTACAAACAAATATAAGCTATTTGAAAAGAACTGCGTCTGTATTTACATCCTCAAAAGATAAATCTAAAACGAGATTAATAAATCAGGAATTCATCAGGCAACAAATAAAAAATTTCCTGGAAAAAGATGACTGCCCTGGCAAAAACGATTATGTTATAAGAAAACATGATAAGAAGCAGAAACGATTACTAAATGATACACTCAGAAATCTACATAGACGATTTATAAAAGAAAATAAGTTTCTAATTAGGTATACAACCTTCTGTCGATTACGCCCGTTCTGGATTATACAGCCAAAAATAGAAGAACGAAATACCTGCCTTTGTATGATCCACACGAATATGTGGTTGCTCGTTAGAAGGCTGAAAATCGCAAATATTATAAAAGAGAATTCTCCTGAAGAAGTATGTAGAGCCATTTGTTGCGAAGGGGAAGTACTGAAAGACATATGTTTAGAATGAAAATGCGAAAGTTGTAAGAAGAAAACTGTAGTTACAGCTGAATTTCATAGATCGGACACCATAGTTCATGACAGATGGGTTACAAAGCGGGTTACAATAGTAGTGAAAGGAAAAGAAAAGTTGTGTACAAAAACTTTTAAGGAGAAGCTTATGTCTACTAAGGGTGAGGTTCTTCAAGCATTCCTTAATTCATTGCAGCCTTTTCTTTTGCATATAGAAAATTTGGAACACCAGATGAGAGAAATTCGGAAGATCAAAGAAAATATGGATAATACAGAAGTTCTAATACATATGGATTTCTCCGAAAATTATGGATGTAAATATGCTGAAGAAGTCTAGTCAGCCCACTTTGGGGGCTCAAAAATGCAGTTGAGCTTGCACACGGTAGTTGTGTATTATAGAAGCTCTAACAATACTATGCAAAAAAAATGTTTCTGTACAGGAGCCAAAAGTTTGCGGCATGATCCTGTGGCAATTTGCGCCCATCTACTTCCCGTTTTTAAAAAACTCAACACCTTTGTAGGCAATTTGAAATGCGTTTATTTTTTAAGCGACGGACCCTCAACCCAATATCGGAACAGAAAGATGTTCAATTTGATGGCAAGCTTTATGACGAACGAGTTAAATGTAGAAAAGTTACGGTGGCATTATAGTGAGAAAGGTCATGGCAAGGGAGCTCCAGATGGAGTAGGTGGAGTCTTAAAGCGCACAGCTGATGCTATGGTGGCTCGAGGAATAGACATATCTAACCTACAATCTTTTTTGTTCCATTTCAAAGCAAACTGTAAAGGTGTCATTCTCTCTGAAGTTCAGATAGATGATGCAGAGATTGACAAAATTGAAAAGACGATACCTAAAATACTGCCACCGTATACCGAAATTTTACAGTGCCATGAGGTTGTTTGGGTGAAACCACATACGTTCCTAGATATTCGAAAGCTCACCTGTCTCAGCTGCTCTCCATCCAAAGTTTGTTCTCATTATTCCTTGGGAACTTACCAATTGCAGCAACGTATCCTTTTTATCAAATTATTTTGGCATTTTCAAATATTTTCTAATTCCTCATTTTTCCTTAACTGATTATTAGCACATACAAAAAGAAGACTGATATACTCTGAGATTTATTCATCATCGTCGGAGGATGAATACGACAATCTGCCTTTAGCTATGCTTTTAAACTTTTTTCGAAATCCTCATAATTTCAAAAACCAATAGGTAAACTGTTTGACCTTATACCTAATCAAATATATCTTATGATGTTTCTCCGCGAAATTGCAACAGATATTGGAAAAACTCGAATTTTTTTCTGAACAAAATTCGATCGATTTAATCACCTTTCATGATAATCACCCCCATACGTCTCGTCTAGTCATTTGACACGATTTGTTTGTTCCTGAATCCAGCTTGAAATTTGGTTGACAGTTTATTTCCCTCGATAAATTGGATGATCTGTTCGTAAATAATTTTTTTTCAAAGACTTTTTCAACATCTGGCAGAACATTTATTGGCCGCATATTGGCGTACAACTCAGAATTTTCAACAGGAGTTATGCTAACACTTCAGTTTTGTTGGAAATTCGCCACATTTTAAACATTAATTTATTCAGGATGAATATTCTTACTCCAATAATAACAAAACATTCATTAAACGCCATTTTAGACAAAATCTCATTCTTATTTTGATTTGATTTCAGTTTTGATATGTCAGATTTGATTCAGAGATAGCACTAGCGGAGGTGATTCATAGCTTTTACGGCTCAAAAGTCCAAGTCGTTTGTCATTCCTCCATAGGTGGCGCTCACAGTGAGTACGCCTGGCGACTAGCTAGTACACAAGTGACAAGTAAGGCGGTCAGATCGCTATCGTAGCAATTATTTTACATAATACGGTTACTGATCCATTTGAAAACATTGAGTAGTAGTACGAGGTCTGTAAATTGGGTGACCAGTCTGGCAACGTAGCGTGCGATATGGCAACAATGAAGTCGTCGTCGTAGCGATTTTTTATTGTGAAGCAGTTTTTTCTATTGTGTTTTAAAAATGGGTGACATCAATTTCGAGCACGGTGTGCTATCAAGTTTTGCCTCAGAATCCGTCGGTTGATAGTCAGAATGATCGGGAAAGAGTTAAATTTGACTCACACCGTTCACCAGATCAAGAACAAGGTGGGTTGCATCATGGTAATGCTCCTTGTCACACAGAAATGTCAATAAACGAGATTTCGGACAGTAAAAACATTCCTGTGGCTCCTCAGCCTCGTTATCCGACTGATTTGAGTCCTTGTGAACTGTTTTCTCTTCACGAAGTTGATAAATCACCTCAAGGGTCAGTCGAAAACGTTCAAACGGCTGTAACCGACCAGCTGAAGGCTGAAGGAGTTCCAGCACTGCTATGAGGAGTGGAAGAACCGTTTCCAGCGGTGTCACAAGGTAGTTATTTTGAGGGTGAAAATATAAAATTGTAATATATATAAAATCACTTAATTTGCAGACCTCGTATGTTAACGCATCAAAAACCTGAGAGTACTATCACAATTATGAATAATAAAAATTCGAACTTCAAGTACGGCAGTTTTATAAATCTGGTAAAATAGAATTATAAGAGATTTTGCATTGAACTGATGGTGGTGTCATCCTAGTGGTGCTACTTTTCAATGGACGGTTAAATAGCAGAAAATGATCCAGATCAGGCTAATAAGCCAAGAACGGATATTGTTTAAGAGAAAAAATGTGCAGACGGATTTTATGATGGAATTCTTGGGGTAAATGTGGAAGTATCCGAATATAAAAAAATCTTGCTGCGTATTTTTTTATTAAACGCCAAAGATTGGTAAATCATTTTTTCGGGTGTAACAGAAAACCTGACCTTTGAAATAAGATACTGAAGTGCCATTCCGCGCCATCATAGTGACAGGACGACTTGGTCCATTCCTTTCTCTGTCAGGTTGCGGAATAACACATTTATATACTCAATCTACTGCGGCGGTTACTAGTGGAGGTTTGGTAGACGTAAAAACAAAAAATATGGTTCAGTCCTGTGCAGCCATAAAGTGCACTGCAACATGGACGACAGGGAGTAACATAAAATTCCGCAGGTTGGTCAATAATAAGTAGCAGTATGTTAGTAATTAATTTACTATCAGGCAAAGTTAATGTCATAGACTTGACCACACTTCCCCAAGTGTAATCAAAATTTTTTATTATATCCGGCTTCGTCTCATAAATAAAGTAGTCTTGTAGTACCCTCATTTTTCACGTATTGGCCACAAATTTCCAAAGTAAAGCGGCAACATCGCTTCCACTCAGCACCTCCGCCGCGTCACCGACGGCGCCGCCACGCGCTATACAACTAGTCTTCATTTTTGTGCGATATTGGCTACACGTTCCGAACGAGTTAGCGTGCTGTTAGCGTGGTTATTATAGTTTGTTTTTGTGCGGGTTGCCGTTGCAGAATGTCTCTTCGCTCGAAATCACGGAAAAGATTTAGGAGCCCCTCACCAGGGAGGTATGATCGGGCAGATACTGACAGGGATAGTCTGGCTCGAGTGTTGAAGAAAATAAATCGACGTTTAGACGATTTGGAGGGACGAAACAAGAAGCATCGGAGGTCGCCATCTTTTTCTGACTCTGATGAAATGTCTGAAGCTGAAGTGTGGTCTGAGCTCAGTAAGTAATAAAAGACGGCTTCTTATTATGATTATTTTGCCCAGGTTTTACCTTATAAAAGTAGATGAGGCTCAGAAATGTCTCTACGTTCACACAATATGGGCTCTCTAGTGATATTTTATAGCAGCCTAGGGTGGCTGGTAATAAAAGTAATCTGCCTAGGCTGGCAGCTTGTTATTACAGGGAAATAATAACAAGATTATCACAAGAAATCAACAAATGTGGTAGCCTATCAGCCTAGGGTGGCTGTAAGCTATGTCTATGTGTATTTGTGTTTATATATGTATGTATATATAAGGTTATAGCTACCCCTTATTAGTAAATTATTGCCTAGGGTGGCAATTTATTTTTATTTAAGCTCACGTTATCTACAGTGATAATATTATTGGAGGGTTGATTCAAAATATGCTAAAGGAGGGTGCAATTTCATTGGTCGACCCATGTGAGGGTCAGTTTGTTTCCTCCATATTTATTGTGCCTAAACCCGATGGATCATATCGGCTAGTGATAAACCTAAAGTTGCTTAATGAATATATCAAGATATCTCATTTCAAGCTTGAAGATCACAGGACAGTCTCTCGTCTGATCACACCTAATTGTTTTATGGCAAATATTGACATAAAAGATGCCTATTATCATATACCAATCAAAAAGACTCATAGAAAATTCTTGCGTTTTAGGTTCAATGGGTCTTTATACGAATATAATGTCTTACGTTTCGGCTTAAATTGTGCTCCATTAATCATGTTACATTTTCTCTACGCAGTTGTCATCAGGTTGTAGTTTTTCGAGTTGTAAACGTATTATGTCAGTCCTGGCTAAATATAGAAAAGAGCATGATTTCAGGATTTACGTAAAATTTACAATGTCCGATTTCTCGAAACAATGTCA